CAGACCTGCTGAGCTTTTCCAGCAACTTTGTTTTTGTTCCTGATTTATAGCATCCGCAGTTCTTTCGGTTTTCATTCAGAAGAGATGTTAGAAAGCACTTCCACACATGAAGGATGACAGAGGTTTGGAACTCTCTTCCACAAACAGCAGTTGATGCCAGTTGTTAGTTTTCAATTTTTGTTAAGCAAAGGAATTCAGGGATATGGGCCAAAGTTAAATATATAGGGTTACACCACAGATCAGCCATGATCTCATTGAATGGCAGAACAGACATGAGGGGGTTAAATGGCCTACTCCTGTTCTTACGTCCCTGTATGTTTATCACTGAAAGGGTCCATTGGAAAATAACTGATCTAACATTCTGCAGTGAGTTTAATATGTAATTACTACACCAATGCAGCAAATTTTTTTGAAATTCAACAGGAGATTAACAGTAAGATTTCATTTTTAAGAGGCTGCTGGTAGAAAGACGCAAGTTATCCTGTCATTTTCAACTCGTAGCATATCTCTTCTTTGCCAAAATTGCTAAGTTATTTACACACTGATAACAATGTTAGAATAAATGTCGTTATTCTTTTGCCAGCAAATTCTGGCCCAATGTGTTCAATTACATTCCATTCAACACCTTCCTCTTCCAGACACTAAATCTAAAAGAAGCATGGCTACCAAACCTGATTATCGATAACCTTAATGATTCCAACAGGCATCCCATCAGTTGCAGTTGAAGCAATCTGATGAGATACACCAAGCACAGTTGGAAAGCAAACTTTTAAAACACACTAACCTACAACAAGTCTCCATTTTTTGAGAAATTAAGCCAACAATTTAATGTTTAAACAGTGCAAACTTCTTTGAATGTGTCAGTCTGTTTCAAACTTTTAATGCCGCAGGTTTCAGGGACTAATGAAAATTCAAATGGAATGAAAGCTGAGAGACTTGGTAGAAGCAGGATGATAGTATATTCTAGCACACAAATTTCAATGACAAATCGAAAATTTACAGGTTAGCCAAGTCTTTAAACTTTGCCAATTGGTTGGAGAAGGGAACCCTGCAATTTTAGTTTTGATTCAAGCTTCTTTTTCCCATGACACAAACAAATCTTCAGCATCCATAGTACTGTTAGAAAGGGAGATCAGAATTTTGACTCAGTGACAGTGAAGGAACGGTGATGTAATTCCAAGTCCAGATGGTGTATGGCTTGGAGGGGAATTTCTTGGTGGCAACGATTAAAGGTTCGGAAGGTGCTATCCAAAGAACCTTGGGAATTACTGCAGTGCATCTTGAAGATGGTACACCCTACCACCACTGTACCTTTGTGGTAGAGGAAGTAAATGTTGAAGGTGGTGGATTTAGTTGTCAATCAAGTGGGCTGCTTTGTTCTGGATGGTATTGAGCTTCTTGAGTATCATTAGAGCTGCACTCATCCAGGTAAGTGGAGAGATGCACAAATAAACAAAAGTAATGTTTAAAAATGTTCAGAAATGATATGCTGCACTAATCAAGGAAAATAAAATTAAAACATTCGACAATTAAGTAGATTTTGTGGTCATATGAAAAACTCTACACTACCAGTCTCAGACTTTTGGGATCAAAATCAATGCAAAGTGACTTTTCTTGAGATAACAAAAATATGAAGAATTTCAGGTTTGGCAGAAGATTTCCACCACTGCATGGAATGCATTTGATTAATGAGAACTCAAGTCTATATTATTTAAATCTGAAATCTCTTTAATGTTACAGCCCACATCTATAAACATATTGTGTGAAGTTATGATAAACTCTTGAACAAGCAGCTCCAGTGGACACTTTCAAAGCTGCTGCACATTAATTCTGCTACATAATACTTTTAGAAACTACACATCTGTAACTGATTTTACTCCATCAGTTTTAAGATGCACTTTAGACTGCAGTTACTAAATTTTTTTTGGAAGAATCTAAATTACAAAAAAAACTTGAGAGCACATCAAAGCAGTAAACTAATCTTTCTCCATGATCTTGGTCACCAAACTCAAAAGAGAAAGCTAAGATGTTTAATGGAATAAGAATTCTCCTATAAAGTACAGGACAAATTAACTTAAAGAAAGTCATTTCTTATTTTCCCCACAATAAATCAATTAGCTGTACCAACACCAACCTGAGGGTTTGAGCATTTCATCTCCAGAGACTCCAGATCTACATGGAGACAGACAACAAACGAATGTCTGGTTTCAGGGCTGGAGCTCTGCAGCTTATGTGAGGTGATGGCCAGTGTCGAAGTACAGCCCAAGGGTTCCAAAAGATTACATGCCTTCAGCTGTCCAAGTAGAGTATACACACTAAACTGGCTGAGACTGATGGTCCAGGGGAAAGCATCACCTGAGAAGAGAAGAAAAGAACTTAATCTATTAAGTGACCACTTCAACAAATGTCCTCTAGTGTAAAGGTGAGTTGAGTGTGGTGATTTTCATCTGTATTAAGGTCAGAGGTGAGCACATTATTGCACAATGTTCAGCATCATTCGTGACTCCTCAGACACCGCATTCAATAGCATTACCATTTGCTGAATCCTTCACAATCAACATCCAGGAGGTATCATTAAGCAAGAAATTAGCAAAGCATCTACATAAATACAAGGACAAGTCAGAAGCTAGGAATTCTATGATGGATAATTTGCCTCCTGACTCTCTAAAACCAGTCCATCATCATCAAGTCAGGTCAGGAGTGTGATGAATATTCCCCACTTACCTAGATTAGTGCAGTTTGAACAACACTCAAGAAAGTCTACATCATGTAGGAACAAGCACTATGCTTGTCCGGTATCTGATCGAACACCCTCAACATTCACTCATTCCACCAACGACTCACAGCGGCAGCAATGCACACCAACTACAAGATGCACTGCAACAACTTACCAAGGCTCCTTAGGCAGCATCTTCCACATAGAACACAACTTCTACCATCTAGAAGGTCAACAGAACACTACCACTTGCAAGTTTCCCATTAAGCAATAATCATTCCTCCATAGAAATATATTACCATTCCATCATTGCCACTAGGTCAAAATCCTGGATTCCCTCCTTAATAGCACTGTGGATGTCCCTACACCATAAGGACTACAGCACTTCAAAAAGGCAGCTCGCCACCAAGTTCTCAAAGGTAAGGAGGGATGGAAATAAATATTTGCCCAGCCAGCGAAGCCTACGTCTCATAAATGAATTTTAAAAATTCAGTTGGATGTGGAAAAATATGAGGTCATGCACTTTGGTGCTAAGAATGTGGACAAGTAATACATAAAGCGAATAGAATACTTATATGGGTGCAGAAGCAAAGGGGCCTGGCTGTATACATGCGTTTATCATCGAAGTGGGAAGATTCTTCGACAATGTCTTCCAAACACGCAACGTCTACCACCTAAAAGTGAAAAGGCAATAGCTGCAGGAGATCACCACCACCTGCAAATTGCCCTGTAAGCCACACACCATCCTCACTTGTAACTACTTAATTGTTCCTTTGTTGCAAGGCAAATTCCTTCAATTCCATTCCCAACAGAACTCTGGATGTACCTACACCAAATGGACTGCAGAATATCAAGAATTTCAACACCATTCACAACTTGTTCATTACTGACACAGTGTCCAAATGCAGCAAAACCTAGACAGCATCTGGGCTGAGGCTGTTAAGTGGCTAGTGTGGTGTGAATCAAGAGTGAATACAATCATGGTCTCTTTGACATCCAATGGCAGAATCATCGCTGCACTCCACCCACACCATCGACAGTAGCTAAAAAAACAGGTTTCAGAAATCAGTGGCAAGTAATTCAGCTTCTAACTCTCCAAAATCCTGCTCACCATCTACAATGTACAATAGTAGTGTGATAGAATATTCTCTGCTGACCTGGATGGTTACAGCTTCAACAATGGTCAAGAAGCCTGGCACCATCCAGGACAAAGCAGCCTCATTGACTGACACCCCATCTAACAGTTTTACCATTCACCACCACCAGCCACGCACCGCCAAACCCCACCCACCCTTCCCCCCCGCCCCCACATCACCACCACCACCACCACCAGCCATGCACCGCCAAACCCCACCCCCCTTCCCCCCCCCACCACCACCAGCCATCCCCGCCCCCACCCCACCCCCCCCCCCCCCCCCACACCCCCCCCACCC